CTTAGTTTAGACCACGGCTTCTCTGGGCAACCCGTATTTATTTGGTTTTCAAACCAAGGAGGAGGATACCCAAGAAAACGCAGGAATCTAACAGGACCTTGGGAGAATTTTTAAGTAGTAAATTATGTCAATCAGGAGAACTACCTTATCTTTAGGTTGGTATTTATTGTAGGAGTGTGGAGCCTGCAGCGGCAGTGTCCTTGTAGTTAATTGGGGTTGGAGCCAGATGTCCTCAGCTGGGGCCTTATCTTGTCCTTTGAGGCGTCCCAGCTTCACAGGCCAAGACAGGCCTCAGGGTGACCAGGGACTCACAGAGGTTTACTTACTATGAGTCCACTGCCTATCTTTATTTGTTTTTTTTTCCAGTACCAGGAATCAAACTCATGATCTTGCGCTTGCCAGGCAGGCGCTTTTCCACTGAGCTAAATCCCCAGCCCCCACTGCCTATGTTTAGACAAGGTGCCTAAGCTTCAAATAGCTCACAAGTAAACACAGAAAGCCAGTTGGTTAATATTAAATCCAGCTCAGAGCCACTCTGTAGTGGTCTCCAAAGCGGCACTTCGCTATAGCAGCCATGGCAAACCGAGACAGTCCTGAGGGGTCATCAGGACACCCTGAGGTGGTGTCATGGGTCATTTGTATTAACGTGAATTACTATCAGAATTACCTCCTCTGGCTCCCAGTCTGAGTTGCATGCGTTTCTGACACGTTGCCTTCTTCGGCTATCATTTCGGAGTCTGCCCTGTTCTCTGTTTATGGGATGGGAAGGAAAAAGGATGTGAAAGGAGGACATTCCGAGGTGAGGTGGGCAGTGCTGTTCCATTTCTTCTGTGTCCAGATAAGATGGGAATCCTCCTGCAAGGTGCACACGTCACTGTCACGCAGGGATGGACACTCTGGAAATGGCAGTGAGCTCGGCTGAGGAGCCCGCGGCCAGCTGTGCCGCCTTGGTGTGAGTGGGCTGCCTTTCCGAGCATCTCCAGGTTCCGCCGTTGCTATGGCAGATCCCACAGTGGTGTCCTTGGAGGGAGCATGCTCAGTGTGACTGGAGTGGGGGCGGGGTGGGCAGCAGGACTCCTCTCCCTGGAAGGTATTGGCACAATTGAGAGACTGATTACTCATGGGAAAGACATTCAACAACAGCTCCTCAGATGTCCCTCAGCTCAGCTGAAATTTGGCCCAGTTCAAGTTGACCACAGCTGCGGAGGATGTCAAGATGTCCCATTTAGTGACTGGAGAAAGGAGATGGAATTGGGTATTTCATTTACAAAGACCCTGTCGTCTAGGTAGTTCTTTTGCTAACATTGTCCCTAAATCTTACCTGAACATGGTGGTACCTATAATCCCTGAACTCTGGGAGGCTGAGGCAGGAGGATGGCATATTCAAGCCTAGCCTGGGTAATCTAGTGACTTGGTGAGACCCTGTCTCAAAATAAAAAATTATAAAAGGGCTGAGGATATAGCTCAGGGTGAAGGCCTTCAATCCCTAGTACCACACAAAACAGCAACAAAATTAGCCCCTCAATCACAGAACACACAGAGAGAGATGGAGGAAATGGGGTAGAGAGCTAATCTAGGGTGAAGATCTCTGATGGCTCCGAAAGGGGCTAAATCGGGTTAAGAATGAATACCTGAACCTTGCACTTCTGTTCCATCCCCCAACCTCTTGGTTTGTTTGTTTTCGAGACAGAGTCTCACTATGTAGTCCAGGCTGGCCTTGAACTCACTTTATAGCCCAGATTGGCCTCCAACTTGCAGCAATCCTCCTGTCTCAGCCTCCCCAGTGCTGGGATCACAGGCACGTATCACCACACCGGGCTCTTCATTTTAAATGAGTATGTGCATTTTCCCTCTGGATTTATTCAGGGAATTCCTCATTTCCTTTTCTGTCTTGCCCAGGGAAAGCCATTTCTATCAAAGTTAAGCTCCCTCTTGGGCTGAGGAATCTACCTAAGTTTGATTCTTTTTTCTTGCTCCGACAGACGTACCGTAAGAAATAAGGGAAGAGAGAAAGAAAACTTGTAGCAAGGACGCGCTTTATTTAAGATAAAGACCTGAAAGGGGCCATTGGCTCTGAAATACCAAAAGGAGCTTTTCTACAGGGTAAGGATTTCTAGGTGTTCAAGGCAATGTGGAAGTTAAGGGCCTGCTGTTCTTAGGATGGGCTTTGAGTCTGCGGTTCCTGGGCCGTCTTGCGTTGCAAAAGGCTTCCTATTCCAGAGGCTGATCACCCCTTGACCTGGAATGTTTTGTACAGTAAACACACTTGATGGACTTCATAACTATGGGGCACAGAAGAATGTGGGCAAGGGCTGCAACTTTAGAAAATGTCCACTGGCTTCTCCCGTTAGCCACTATTGTCCCCAACGTGAAACCTGCAAAGCACACTTGTCGATACAGTGTTGATCCTTTGGGGTCAGGGGGTTACGCTGGGTCCTCTACTTTATGCAGTGGTGGATGGGAGGAAGCATCATAGCAGGTTGGGTCTCAGTTTAGAAAACCTTCGAAGGTTCATCTGCGGGATATTCTTGCAGCCCAGGTACGCAGAGTGGAAACATTAGAGGGTGTTTTCTGTACCTCGCATTTATTGAGTACAGCGTCAGGCTGATACAGGGGAAATCATACGGCTCCCAACCTGCACATGTCAGACACGCTGAGCGTGAGTTTCCCCGAAATCGAAGAATGAATTTTCAGGAACAAGGGAGGTTAAGAGCAGGAAACATTTCTTGAGAGAGGCAGCTCCTGAGAGACAGGAGGGGACCTGAAAGTAGGTTGCTGCAGACCCCACTTCGCAGAGGAAGTTTTATAGAGCAAAATCACAAGGTGGGTCAAAACTATGATGAACCAACAAGATTACAAGTACAGCCACTTAGGTAATACTGATCCAATGGGGAAGCAGTGAACATGGAGACAAGAACCTTTTAAGGGAGGTCCTGGTCACCCACCTGGGTAGCTGATGTCTATCTAGACTTTATTGGGCCAGGTGATACTAATTATAGTATAATCTTTAGTTTACTGCTTATCCCTTGGGGAGACACGTAGGCCTGGTCATTTTGTCTTTATCCTGAGGCCTGGCCTTGGACAGATGCGCCTCCAGCCAAGTTGGGATGTGTTCTCACCTTCTGCACTGACTCTCCCGAGGGTGCAGTCCTGTCTGATTGCCTACAATATTTCCCCCTAACTTAGCTGTCGAAAATAAAGTGATATGCTAAAGTCCTCTCCACATATTATCTTCTTTCATCTTTCCAACAACCTTTAAGGTTGTTTCCTTAAATATCTTTTTTCCCTCTGTAGTACTGGCAACTAACTGTACCCAGGGCCTTCATAGACAACTACATTCCCAGATCTTTTTTATTTTTCATATTGAGACAGTGTCTCACTTCGTTGCTAAGTTACCCAGGCTGGGCTTGAACTTGCTAGCCTCCCACTTCAGCTTCCCAGAATGCTAGGATTACAGGCTGGTTTAAATATCTCTATTTTGAGCCAGGAGTGGTGGTGCACGCCTGTAATCCCAGCACTTGGGAGGCTGAGGCAGGAGGATCGTTGCGAGTTCGGGACCAGCCTGGGCTACAAAGTGAGCTCAAGGCCAGCCTGAACTGCATAGCGAGACCCTGTCTCAAAATGACAAAAAAAATTTACATATATATATAGAGAGAGAGAGAGAGAGAGAGAGAGAGAGAGGGAGGGAGGGAGGGAGGGAGGGAGGGAGGGAGGGAGAGAGGGAGAGAGGGAGAGAGAGAGGGAGGGAGGGAAGGAAAGAAAAGAGGGAGGGAGGGAGAGAGGGAGAGAGGGAGAGAGGGAGAGAGGGAGAGATGAGGAAGCTGAGGCTCAGAGGATTTGGTAGTGAGCTCAAGGTCGCACAACTGTCAAGCAGTGGATCCAGGACAATCCCGCGAGAGCCTAACTCAGAGCCCCAGCCTGCGCCTGAGACCCCACATAAGCCCAGTGCAAAGTCTTGGTGGAACCCCAGGATCAGCTTCTTCAGCTTCTGTGTATAAGCAAAGTAACTATCAGGTCCAGGGTTTTCCTCCTCTTTAACATAAATTTAGATACTTTGCTCTTTAAGTCAAGCAAATGGACTCACTACTTTCCTTGACCTGCTCCTGAAAAATAAAAACTTTTTCCATCTAATATCCAGCCTGCAAGACAGAAAGACAGAAACACACACACACATACACTTCATTGCTTTTTAAAGATCCAGTGGGAAGACTTGCTCTCCCCAACGCTTGTGCTAGGGAATGGGGAATCTTCTCAGCTCCAGAGAGTATTTCCTCCTCTCTCCAGGGCCGACACATCCCGCGGCAGCAAACTGGGTCTCTAGGGAGGCCCATTCATTCCTGTGCCGCTGGTGTGCGCCCCACATCAGAAATGGTAAGTAGCTGGGAATAGCGCACTGGCATCCCAAGAACCAACCCTAACAACTCGGATCCAAAGCAGACCCCCGCCCCAGACTGCTCTGAACGATTTCGCCTTTGAAAATGTTTTCACGGTCATCTATCTTTTCACGCGGGTGAACGAGATCAGCAAAAATGGGGCCGGGGTGGGCGTCAGCACTCCCGGCGCTACGGGGAGGCCGACGGCCGCGCGGGGGGATTCTCGCAAGCGAGGGGCGCCGCGGCGGTGGCGGCTGCAATTCAGATCTTCACCCCGGCCTGGCAAGGCGGGGTGGGCGCAGGTGAGGACCGCGCGGGCCCGGGCCCAGGTGGGGCGGAGTTACGAGGCCGGCGTGCGCTGCGGAGGGTGGGCTTCGCGGACAAGCGCGGGGAGGGGAGGGCGGCTGCGCG